TTCATTGATGGGACACAAACCACTGTCTCTTCTGACTAACCTCTATCTATACTCACTCATCCAGGGTTTACATACCTCACATAAGGAGGACAACTCCATATCGTGGGAGGGAGGCTGCAGGGGGTGTTTGGAAGGTGAGACCTGCAGCGTAAAGAAGGCCAGCGGAACAGCCATGGAGAGAACGATCTTCTTTTCCTCTACTGCGCAGGGCTGGTTATATAGGCCACAGCAAGCAGTGCGCTAATGCCGCATGCGCAGCTGCATTCCGCTGGATCATCATTACATAAGGCCATCGTCATGAGCACGTGCATGGGACACCGAGGCCTATCAGCCCTTACCCGACACACCTGACACTCTGAAATTACTATCCCCAGCCCCAATCCCTTCCTTGAATGCCAAATTCCTATATCCAATTGCCTGCTAGGCATCTCCATGTGGATAGCTAACAGGCTCCTCAGAGTGAACAGGTTCCACCAAACTTCTGATACTCATAGATTTTCCCCACAAACCTGCTCCCCCTGCAGGCATCTCCATCTCCATTAATAACAATTCCTGCCATCCACTTGCTCAAGCCAAAACTCCTTGACTCCTCTTTCTCTCATACCACGTGGACAAACCATTAGCAAATCCTTTTGTCTCTACCTTCAAAATATATCCAGAATATGACTACTTCTCAGCATCTCCATTATTACCTCAGATTCAAGCCACCATCATCAATCCTAATAGCGTCTTAATTGGTCTCTGGGCTTCCACTTTTCTCCCACCTTTAGCCTATTCTCCACACAGCATCCAGAGAGGTGTAAGTCACTCTTCTCAAAACCTTTCTATAGCTCCTCATCTAACTCAGGATAAAAGCCAAAGTCCTTACCAAGCCCTGTATGATCCAGACCCCTTACTCCTCTGGCCTCATCACAGGCTCACAGGCATGCACCACACAGCCATGCACATGTGCTAGCACACACCTGAATGCACTCATTACTTCAGCCACATTGATTCCTTTCTTATTCCTTAAACTTGTCAGTATGCTCTCAGGGCCTTTACATCAACTGTTCCCTCTGTCTGGGGCACTCTTCCCCCTCAGATACCCCTGATGACTTCCTCACCTTCTTTAGGTCTTTGCTCGATGTCACACCTTCCCAGCACTAAAAGTAAGGAGAAGTCAGTCAGATACATCTGTTATACATATAAAATGAGGAGAGGGTTTGGGTGAAAAAAAATGGGAGGAAGTTCTGTAAGTGACACTGGTTTCTTACCAAGAGCTAACTGCCTCTGGGACAAGACCTTGGCAGCAATATAAAGGGATACTCATCTTGGCAGCAATAGTAAAAGAGGCATCTCCCCTTCTGGGCTGACCTCTGCTTCTGCCCTGGGGCAAATGCAGTGCAGTTTTTTATGGCACCATCAGAGGGTGCTTAACTGAGAAGATGCTATACACAAACATAAGCTTTCAATCCTTTCCGGCAATATCTAAGACTGAAGTGCCTCCTAGTGCCAAGCACTTACAGGCATGCTCAAGACACACAATGAATAAAATATAACTTAATTTTCTGATAGATTTTGAAGACACTTGTTTGTGTTACAAGAAAGTAAAATTTTACAATTTCACAATTGGAATACCTCAATTTATAACAGAACACAGGTTTTACTGATAACTCCTTAAACAGCATCAGCCCTCCAGAGCACAACTAAGAACTAGGAAATAAAGGAAATAAAAAGCTTTTATGCAATCGAAATAGATATCACAGTGTCCATATGCTAAAGCTGATATACATGACTAGTAGACTATCACAGCCCTACTCATAGTCTATTTACTATTATTTTGCAGACAATTCTAACAAATTTGGTTATCTCATTTCCTCCCTCATAACAACACATCAGAAGGAGCAACAAAGGAGGAAGCATAGAGGATTCGGTGGTAACTGCTGGTTGGTAGAAACCATTAAAGTAATAGTAGTAAGAAATGACAGCTAAGAGAGAGGGAATATATGGAAAGATTAGAAAAACAGGCATCACAAATTAAGATGTGGAACAATCTGTGTCCAATATAATCCAGGGACACACAGCCCTCCACAATTTAGGAGCCCTTGAGGCAACACTATATACAGCACATTAAAATACTAATGCTATTACAAGGATAACCTTGAGTCATTAAGAAAGGATGCAATTACTTCCAAGTTCAGGAGTCAGGAAGGCAAATAATCTTTTTGAAAAGTTTTCAACCCAAAATGACTAGCGATTTGGGTGGGGAGGGATGAAGCACTAAACATGCTGAACCTCAGTTACCCATAAAATCAGTTATGTGGAACTATTGAAGAGTATAGTGTTGTGGGTAAATGACCCATCTTCATTGGAATAAATTTTATACCATACTGGAATGTACATGAATAATTAACTCACCTTGAGGTAAACTCTGACAAAATAAAATCTACAGTGAACAGATTTTCACAACTACTTATCTGAGGTTACCTTAGATCAGTACAGTTTGCATTATTTTGTCCAGCAAGGAATGCAAAACATTTCTTTCTCTTTTTTTTACTTTTCCCCCATGATCAGGTAAGGTGAGTGTGAGGGAGGAAAACCCTATTATTTAAGGGCAAGTTCAAAGAGTAATTTTATAATAAATATGGGCTACTTCTATGCTAAACTTTCTGAGTTACCAACACAACCCATATAAGTAGGTTTAAAGAAAGCACTTCAGTGCCAGGGCTTGTTTAATCGATGCCACAGATGAAGAGTAAGAAATAAGATTCATTTTTTTCAGCTCCAGACCTGTTGGTCATGTCTCTCTGAACGTTCCATAGAAAGTACAAACCCACAATTTAACCCAAAATGTATTCTTCGTCTTTCATTTCCTGCTTTAATGATATCTCTCCCCACCCAGTCACCCTAACCAGAAACCTGGAATTAACCTAGTCGCCTTCCCTGTCCCTCAAACCTCACACCTAGTCACCAAGTCAAATCAATTTTATGTTCTCAATTCATCAAGCTTCTCCCCTTAACCCCATTCCCAGAACTGGCATAGTCCATGCCTTCATCCACTCTTGCCCTGTTTTCTACACCACTTTCTAACCAGCTACTCTTCCTCTCCACTGCACACTCCACATACTGTGTCTTCCACACACTGTACAACCCTAGCCAGGGCCAGTCTGTGTGAATGGAGCCACGAAGGGTTTTGCAGTGCACAACCTATACAACCCAACCATATGCAGCAGCCTTGCTCTACTCCCCCCCCCTTACAACACTCCAATGACTCCCCATTACCCTACAAAGTAAAGCCCTTTAATATGCGTTACCAAGCTCTGCCTGATCCAGTCCCTGCCTACCTCTCCAAAGTGATTTCTTGTACTTCCGACAATTTACACTGCACTTGTTTTTGCACATCTTATTTTCTTTGCCTAGAATACCCCTTACCCTACTTATCCCCACCACAACCCATCCCCACCCCCATTCCCAGTCCCCCAGGAAATTTGTACACATCCTTGAAGATTCAACTCATGCATCACCCTTTCCCCTGAAGGCTTCCCCTAACTCCCTAAGTGGAGTCAATCTTTCCCTCTTTTGGCTGCCCCATGCATGAGCTCAGACCATGCATGAGCAAGAGCAAGTGTAACTAGTTTATGTCACTGTAGCATGTTTCTGGTAGTCAAATGATCATTACTGAAAGGATCTTTCAGAAAGTTCTGTACCACAATGAAAGCTTTGTATACATATTTTGAATATATGAATGTTTTTAAAATACATGAAATCCTTTTCACATGTAAGGGTGTCCTGTTCTAACAACATAGGTACACACCACTTCGAGGATACTCTGTTGGTCCATACGGAGATGGATGGCACCAGAAGACAGATGACACCACTAAAAATGCTCAAAGGTAGGAAAGTATTGCAAGCCTGCCTGAGAACGCAGCACAGCAACTGGTGTTCTTTAGGTGCTGTGATGTGTGGTAACACCCAGAAAAGGGGGGCCTACCAGCCCTGAGTAAGCACAGATATTTGGAACATGTGTTGTGGCTACCTCGTTTGCAGAAAACTACCAGTCAGTCTATTTTTTGGATGGCAAACCTCCCATTGCAAGACTTAGCACCTGGTAAACCAAATGACAATTTGAACACAGGAAGACGTGGCCATCAATTAGAGCACTTAGCAGACTGGTCTGAAAACCGCTGGCTGAACTTAAAAGTCCCAGAGTTGCACCCTGTTCTCGGGATGCTACCGCGATCCAGTCTGCAGGGTCCCAAAGGAACTGAGGTGCCTCGGCTGGGTAAGCGTATGTGCACCACGGGTGGCAAGCGATGAAGCTCAACGTTACACCGCTCACATCCCTGATGCAAACCGAGACAGCCGCAGAAAAGGTTTTGCGGGTTTTTTGGGGTTTTTTGTTTGTCCTGTCAGACAAACGAAAACGTCTGCCTTTGTAGCGAGGACCCCACGAGGCAGGAGGCTCATGGACCAAGCGGGAAAGATGCACTAGCGGGGTAAGTGGCACTGCTTCTCTCGAACTCCTCCAACTGCGGCGCACCCCGTCTCAGAGTCCCAGCGCCTTTTTCGACTTGGTTCCCCCGCACGTGTTATTCAACTTCAACCCCAACCCCTCGCTTTTCCACCTTTCGGGTAATATTCAAGGGAAGTGTACCCATGGAACGGTGGCTTCTGGTCTGCGGGAGGTGCAGTTGGAAGATGCCCGGTATCCCTACCTCTCTGTAGACGCACAGAAGCCAGTGAGGAGGGGAGAGGGGACCTGAACCAGCCGGGCAGAGACATCCTCACAGGGCGCCTGCGGGCCGAGGGGGGAGAGGCTCACCCTGAAGCGGCTGCGGTCTGAGGAACAAGGGGTGGTGGGAGCGCCACCGCAGTGAGGACCTGTGTGCGTGCGCCAGGGGCGAAGGCAGACAAAGTGCGCCCCGGCCGGGCGGGCGGGGAAGGAGCGCGATAGCAGAGGAGCCTGCCCGGGAGCTAAGCAGGAGCCCGGGCGCGGGCGTTGTGCGCAGCAGGGCACCTACCTACGGCGAAGGCTGTTTGCAGGAGACAGAGGTAGCTCTGGCCGTACTGCTCTGCCAGATCCACGGGCTCCAGGGCCATGGCCATGTCCACCTGCAGAGTGATCGCCTGGGCATTAGGCATGGACGCACAGCCGTCCTGGTTCAGGGGCAGGTCCGGGGTCCTGTCGTCCAGCTCAGGGGTCTGTGGCGCCGAGGCCTCGGGCACGTGCGGCTCCTCTAGAGTGGGCGAGCCCAGGTAGGGCCCGCAACCGCCCGCCGCCATCGGCACGCGGGAGTCCGGGCTGGGACAGTCACCCCCTCCGTGCACCTCCAAACTCCGCTCGGAGTCAGACCCTGAGTGTCCACGCAGCGCCGCAGGGGTCCTGCCGCCAGGCCCGCTGGGTCCCGCCGAGGCCAGCCCACCGGCCAGAGGCCGAAGAGCGCTGCACGCCCGGAGCCCGGGAACTTGCTCAGAGTTTGAGGCCCCGGTGCAGTGCATCTGGCCGCTGCCACCCGGAAAGCAACTCTTCCAGGGTGCGCACACACGTCCCCGCTAAGCTTCCAAAAGGATGGAGGAGGCGGGGGATGTGGAGGAGGGGCTCAAGTAGCCAAAAGGGAGAACCCCCGCGGCGTCGCCCATTGTCAGGGAGGGAAGGCCGGGCTAGGCGAGCACACGTGGTGGGAGGAGCCGGCCCGTCCTCGCACTCCCATGGCAACTCTTGCAAGTCTTGGCGGTTCCTTAGCATCCCGGCCCGCACTGGCCAGGGCAAAGATCGCAGCTCCGGGAAGTTGCTCCGTATGGACACAGGCAGGTGGCTCTGCCAGGATGGCTGTCCCTGCCGGTGCCAAGAGGACACTGGCCCTGTACAGCCTGAAAGGGTCTGTGCTGAAGCCAGAATATGCCCTCCCC